ACCGTCACGTTTAAATCCATCCTAAATGTGTGGTAGCTTTCTAACAACATATTCACATCCTTCGCAAGGATCCGTGAGTCACTGAGCATTTCCTCCTGGTCCTCCAGGACGTAAAACATTGCTGCAAAGAACTCCTGGAGGTGCAGGTGGCTGAAGCTGTAGACGTTCCCGTGGTCTGTACCTTTCTCCAAACCTTTCTCATTGAGGAAGAGGGAGAGAAGCTCTGGCTGATTCAAGCCTTGGTCCTCAATTTCCTTCTCCTCAAAGAGGACCTTGTGTTTCCAGATGCCGTCAGCAGCCAAGGAGCAAAGCTTGTGCAGGAACTGCTGCAGGTTCCACCAGGCATTACTGACTCTGTGCTTTGTTAACCAGGAGAGGTAGAACAAGATCATCTGTGTGGTGGTCTTTGAGCATGCAAGAAGATGATTCCTCTTGAACAGCTCTTGCTCAAGGATGGTGCAGACAGTCCAGCTCATGATGGGGATGACACACAAGCTGTAGAGGACCTCATTTCCTCTGGTAAACCTGAAGGCCACATCTGCTTTATTGTCGTTCCCAAAATACCTGTGGAAATACTCCTCCCTTGCAGCTGTTGCAAACCCCAGAATTTCCACATAATATTCACCCTCCAGGCACTGCCTCAGGCTCTGGAGAGCTGTTGGTCTCATGGCAATGAGCACAGAGGACTCAGGGAGGACTTTTCTCTTGAGCAGGCTCAGCAGGGTGGTTTCCAGTGGTTTGGCTTCTGTGGGGTCAGTGCTCAGCTCGTCCTTGGGCTGAGACAAGGGCAATCCCAGGACCTCAAAGCTATCAAAGATGAACAGGATCTTCTCTGGGTTACCCAAAATCCTTCCAGCTGGTGTTCGCTGTTGAGGGCAGCATTTTGAAATCAGGTCCACCATGCTCACTTCTTTGGAAAAGGAGAGCTCCTTGCAGTCTATGCAGAAGACATAGTCAAACTGTGTGCAGAGGGTCCCTTCCACCCAATCCATCATCACCTTCCTGATTGTCATCGTCTTCCCCATGCCAGTGGCACCCACCAGCACTGTGATCCGCTGCAGTTGGCCGTCTTTGCTGGGTTCAAAGAGTGTTTGTGTGGTGACAGTGTCAGAGCTGACATCTCCAGGCTCATCTCCATGCTGATTCCAAGACCTCCTGGCTATGGTCAGGTTGGTGTAGCGGTCGCTCACAGACAGGTTCTCCCCTAGCCAGGAATTCACCTCTCTGTACTGCAGGAACTCTCTGGCCACGTGCTCTCTGTATTTCTGCTTGTACTCTGCACCAGACAGAAGTGGAGTCAGTTCCAAAGCACAGCCATGCTCCTGACACAGCAACAGCACAGGACATTTATTTCAGTGCTCTGCCTCGATATAAAATTCAGTTACGCACTTCCTATGTGCCATCCATTGAGCCCTCTTTCTTCTTCTGGGCCCTACCAGGAATGTCCCCAAGGTGTCCCTTGTGTCTTCCAGCTTAGCAAACATCTGCCAGCTTGGACCTTGTGGTTGCAGTGACTGCTTGTACAGGAACACTGTTGCCCCTTCCAGGCACCCTGGCCTTGTCCCCACAGGCCTTACTCTGCTTGTGGCCTCAGTGTGTTATGGGGCAAGGAAGAAGAGGAACGCTGATAGGATGAGTGGGACACCCTCGCTTTCCAGACTCACCACAAAGCTGAAACCTGCTCTTTTACTGACTTCCCCCTGTCCCCAGCACTCAAAAGCCAAAGGAGATAAAAATTTACCCTGGCTGCTTACCTTTCACCTTCTCATCAAGGATTTTTTCAGCAAGGTGCCTCTGGTTCATCTCCTCAAACAATCCGATGGCAATGTCCATAGCAGCGGCTTCCCCATAGCTGTTGTGCATAAATCTGATGAGTGTGGAAGGATGGGTGAACTCCTCCAGCTCATCCCTGTGAATGTTCCAGCCTTCTTTGCTATCAACGTGTGGCAGCTTCTTCTTGAAGTCTTGGAAGTCTTCCAGTGTGAGACCTTCCAGTGCTTCCAAGAGGACGGTGCTTTCTTCTCCTGCCATTGTGGGATATGGAAAATCACCTGAAAGAAACAAGGGTTAGGAATCAGTGCTCTTTCAATGTTGTTATGAGACATCCCTGAGAATACATAAGAACCAAGAGCAGACAGAGTGGTGTTTGAGGCTCAGTCTCACACCCATTCAGAAAGGGCAGTGAGGGGTATTGGTGTGAACTTCACAGGGACAGAGCTGCTCACAAGGGGGTTGCTGCTGGCTCAGAGATTGAGGAGGAAAAACACTGACACAGAAGGGCAGAAAATCATCGAGGGAAGAAAAACAGGGTGTCACTCAAAGCTAGAAACTGGGAGAAGACTTTACAAGTCAACGCATAATTACAAAGGTGCTGGTGGGATATGATGTCAGGTCCCACCAACCTGTTGCTGGTGAGGCACAGGTGGCTCTGGCAATGAAGCACAAGAACGTTCTGCCCAAAAGCATAACATGGGGAAATTCCCTGGCAGAGATCACACAGGGTTGCTAGCAGTTATGAGCTAGGTTCAGGAGAAAAGGGTAAAATTTAACATGGGATAAGTGGCTTTCAGCAAGGAGGGAGGTGGATAACAGAGGAGAGGGGATGGATGGGAATGGTGATGGTAGGAGTAGAACACCTGAAGAGATGTATTTCTGTACAAGTAATACAAGAAACATTAAAAAGCCATTCTAAAGGGCCAGAGGACAGAGATTAGCAGTAAGAGACAGATTCACAGTACTCTAACAGCCACTCTGCAGGCATAGCAGAAAGATCGGCCCTGGGGAAAATGCAGCGCCCAAGCTGAAGTCAGGCATCTTCTGGTCACGCCTTGAAGAAGCCAAAGCCAAATCTTTGAGGACTGTTTTAAACATTTCTTGACAAATTATAAACCTGTATAATTTTTCACTGTGTCCCATTAGCGAGGCTGATGGGAAATCCTGACAAATGACAATGGAGTGCTGCCAAATAAACGTGTTCACCATGAGAACTGCTCCTATTTTAGCAAGGCAGTGATTATTGCTAAGCTACCAGCAGACAACAAGTGGTTTTCAATTATAGCTCCAACCGTTTCTTTGCCACCCTGCTTGCTGAAGAATCATTTTTCAGGGTTGTTTTTTTTGAAGAGAAGAGATAAAACCCTTCATTGGCAATACTAGGGCTTCCTAATGCACCTGTAGGACACAGGCTCACTTCAGCAACTTGTTCAAATTATTGTCTCCTGAGAATAATGAAAAATAGTCTTAATGGATGCTATGCTAGCTGCCAGAGCAGCAGAATCATATCACAGAACCATAGAATGGTTGGGTTGGAAGGGTCCTTAAAGATCACAGAACCACAGAGTGTTTGGTTTGGAAGGGGTCTTAAGGATCATAGAACCATGGAATGGTTGGGTTGGAAGGGACCTTAAAGATCATTCATTTCCAACCCCTGCTGTGGATCAGGCTGCCCAGCGGAGTGCCGTCTATGTGCGTAGCAGTGGGCATTAATACTAATGGACAGGAGAATTACCATACAGACCTTACAACAATCAGATCTTCTCAGTCCTGCTCTGGCTGACCAAGGTGCATATCACACTGTTGAGAAAGAAACCAGTTGTAATGATCAGGTATGGACGCAGCATACTAATAATAAACCAAAGGCAAGCTTCATCGATGAGAGCTAGACATGACCAAGGACAAATAGTCCTATTATAGAACAGAATAAATAATGTGGAAACTACTGTAATAAAAAACCTCCCACTAGGAGTATAGGGTACTATAAACGTTATTAGGAGAAGAAATATGTAAGCAGAATCCTTTGCATCACCCTGTGGACAGTGATTTTTCTGATAATGGAATAAAATAGGGGAGGTGTGGTTGGAGAAAGGAGGATAGAAAGCACGTAACAGGAGATGAAAATGAGAATTCTTATTAGCTGCGACAGCCCTTGAGGGAGCCCACAGAATCCTGGCATTCAAAAGCTGCATCTACCTGGGCTCCGGACTAAGCACTGGAAAAACATGCTAAAATTATGACAACTTGGTGATGCTGGCAGGTCTGTTCGTGTACAGGAACAGTCTCTGCAGACAACAAGTTGCAGGCGGACCAGCAGCAGAGATGCTGAATTATGATAACCATAATATACTGAAGGGGAAAAATGCTTATAAGTAAATATGACGACTGCAGATTTCACCTGCTATGACATTATTTATTGTAGTTATTGCATGAAGCCTATGGCAAATGTCCAAGGCCCATACAACAGACAAGGTCTCCCTCTGACCTTGAAGGAGCTGCTTTCACCTTGCTGCATCTTGAGCTGAAGCACTGCGTGCTGTGCTGGCACTTGGTTTCCTCCTGCGCTCTCCTGCAATGGATTTTCTGTAGTTTGCTTCAAACATGGACAAGCATCATAGCCCTTACTTACTGATCAAATCCAGCTAAAAGTCCCACAAGAAGTCCCAGGACCTGGCCATGGGGAAATGCAAGGTTTGGCCCCAGTAATGTCCTGTGAGGTGGTTTCAACCTGGGAGGTTTCAGGGAGAAGAGAACAGAGATGCCCCAGCCCCCTAGAATCCAGGACATATAGAGCCCCATGCAACATTTTAGCTTCCTTCCCTGCACTATGCAAAGCATTTCTTGTATGAGAGCATTTCTAACAACATCCTCAGAAATCCTGAGTGCCATGAGCCCCAAAATCCCTTTATTTTTTATTTTTTTACCCCTTTTCTCTACACTCAGAAGCATCTCATATTGCCGGGCTGCCCCTCTCCTGTTCTCTCCCCCCTGCTGCAAGTTGGTGGCTGCAATTGCTGCATGTTCAGTGCTGTGGGGACAGCCCTGAGACACGGAGGTGTCAGACATGCCCCCCCCATCCCCCCCCCCCAACCCTTCCCCTTGGCATCCTGTCCCAGCCCTCCCCTCCGGATTGGAGCACTCTCTGCCCTCCTCCCCTGCTCTCCATCTTCCTGCGGTCTGCAGAGGTGCATTGTGGGAAACTCCCAAGTTTTTTCCACTCCCCCACCCTCCCTTCTTCCTCTGCCACCATCCCTCCTCTCTGCGCAAGAGCCAGCACTGGAGGACAGAGGTAAGGCTGCTGCTTTTCCCCCTGCATACCACTAACCGGGGGGGAGTTTGGAGAGAGGGGAGGGAGATTTTAATACCTGTTAATAAATAACAACATGTCTTAACCCAAAATAGCAAGGATCTCGGCACATGTCCTTCAAGGTCAGGCAGCCCTGGAATAGAGCTGGGAGCTGGGGTGGAGGCTGGGAGAGGGGATGAAGGCAGAAAGCTGGGATGGAGGCTGCAGATCTGGAATGGAGGCAGGGAGATGGGATGGAGCTGGGAAATGGGATGGAAGCTGAAGCCCTGTGATGGAGGCATGGAGCTGAGATGGAGGGAGGACCAGGGATAGAGGCAGGGAGCTGGGATGGAGGCTGCAGCACTGGAAGGCTGTTGCCAGGTTCCCAGCTGTGTTCCTGCTCCTTTCTGCCTGCATCGTGCTATGTTAAATGTCTAATTGCTAGCAGTTCACAGGCAGGAGGCTATGCAGAGCAAGCAGTGCTGGTAATTAATAGCCCTGGCTGATAAATATTTCCTTTTTCCAGGTTAGGAGCTGGGGGTTGTTCTGCTGGGGTGAGGCTATATCTCTGATACCAAATGGATAGCATTTGATATTGTCCCCTGCTTTGTGCTGAAAAGTTGCTTACAAAGAGAAACAGACCAAAACCAAAATCAAGCTCCTCATGGAGAGCTGAGAGGTTTTTCAGCTAGTGTGCCAAATGGGAGGGGGACATCAGATGGGAATGAAATGCATGAGGGGTGTCTGGAGCACTTTGTGCACCTCTTTGTGTAGCTCTTTTTGCATCCATGTGTGCAGAGATGTGTTAGCTTGGTCCCTGCCTGAGGTCTTGGTCCCCACTGAGGAGGGGGGAGAGGATTTTTATGCCATATCCGAGGTCAGCCTGGGAGAACTTTGGTGCTGGGGCCATAGGAAGGTGGTGGCAGCCTCTTCTCCTGGATGGGACTTGGGCAGGATGCTGTCAGGAATGGGAAGATGCAGCTGGGCAGAGCTCCCCGTTCCAAACGGGGACCAACCTCCACATTCTGACCTTCACAGCCACGACCTTCAGCAGCTCCCATCTTTCCAGCCCCTCACCCATGCAGTTGCAGCAGGAAGAAAAATCTAGAATTTCCCCCAACTGCACATATTCATCCCTTGGCTGGCGGGTGGCCACAATTGTGGTGCAGCAGTTCCATCCGTGGTGGGATGCGGGGAGGAAGGATGGATATAGGGCAGCCTTCCTGCACTGGAGACTTCCCAGATCCCCAGAAGGTCACTGCTGAATTACTCCCCATCCACCTGCAGGGGCTCCTCACATTTCAGCTGCAAAGCAACAGTTTTCAGATCTTGCAGAATGGAATCTGCAATCTTTTTGGCCACAGCTGAGATGCAGCAGGGTTGATGCCATGAGAGGCTTCCATCTGAAGGGTCTATCAGGATGCCCGTAAGATGAAGAGAGCTGCCAAATCCGCTGCTGCTTACTGCAGTCCCTGGGGCTATTGTACAGTGTCAGAGATGACCCTTTTTTTTGTTGTTGTTCTTTTTTTCTTTTCTCATCCTATTATTTTTCCTCTTTTTTTTTTTTTCTTTCTTTTTTGCTCGTGTCTGTTGCACTTCAGAGAGAAGTGGGAGCAATGACTGTCAAGATGGGGCTTTAAAAGCAGCATTAGGAGGGTGAATCCTCTCCCCATCTCTTCTCTTGGCACACCGTAAAGGAAATAGAACTGCTAAGCTTGGAGGTACCAAAAGCACTTCTGCATTTGGGGTATTGCTGAGGTTCCTGCTAGGTGTTTGGATGGACACAACAGGGAATTGCTCTTCTGTTCTCTGGGCAGACCCTGAGGGTTTTGGGGGAGGTGGTGGCCTTCATCCTGGAGCAGGCAGCGCTCTGGGAGGATGGCTGAGCAAAGCTGTCCCAGAGAAAGGCTTGGGATCTAATGCCCTGCAGTTTTGAAAGGTAAGGGCTACAGCCTTGTTCCAGTAACGGAGATCTGGAGTGACTTCTCATGCAGTCTCATGGCCTCATGCAGTGACACCATGGAGGCAAAATTCTGTGTCCTGGGTTGTTTCAATGCTGCTTTCCCTTTTCTTGCCATGTTCCAGGGCAGCTGCAAGGCACATGCAGAAGGGTTTGTCTGCACAAGACAGCGAGCCGGTTTATAGCTCTTATTAGGGCTGTTGGAGTTATTTTCACATAGGGTAAGAGTAGGTAACAAAGCAGAACTGTGGCATTAATTTACACAGATCCTGTGAGGCTCAAGGACCGCGGATGTGATGGCTGAGGTTCCAGGTCTTGATGCAGCCACAGGCATGACACAGACACTGCCAGCAGCAATTTGAGGCTGCTGCCTGCTGAAAGCTTCTCAGCTTCTTGATGCTCAAAATTCAAAGGGCTCGTTGGGTGGGAAGCATTTAATCTGGGATGCAAGAAGCAGCGAACAGCACGTTGGGAGAAGGATCCATCAATATTTCATCCCAGGGAAGTGGGTCAGCAGCAGTGAGTGGTGCAGCTCAGTGCTGATGCTTCCAGGCTGTGCTTTGGGAGGGCTGCACAGCCCAGCCCTGGTGCACTGAGCCTGCTAAAGAGCTTCTACAGAATGCGATCCCCATTCTGAATGCATTCACACTGTTTTATTGCATTTGCTGGGTGCTGCAGTCCAAAGTAGAGTGGAGGTGGCTGAAAAGCTCACAGCTACATGACACAAACTCTTTACGTAAAGCTGTTCTGAGATTTATGGCAACACTGAGATGTACTGCATTACCTCATCCGCCACCACAGCACCTCTTGGAGATGGGAAATGGCTTAGTCACCGTATGCTGCCGTCACACTGCCTGGCTGGAGGCATGGCATCTTGCTGCTTTTGATGTGCCTGTTGCCTCAGCAGCACAGACAGGGGCAGAAGGGCTGTCTGCCCTACCAGGACTGGGGAGTTGGAGCACTGGGAAACAAAATGAGCTCTCTGCTTTTTCTTAACATTTCCAAACCACCTTGGTGCACTGGGGGCATTTGCCTATGGGCTATTTCTGGGAGAAGAAACAGCTGTAAGAATGGTCTTGGGCTTCACAACCTTAGAATCATCAAAGTTGGAAAAAACCTCTAATATCAAGTCCAACAACTGACCCATCTCCACCGTGCCCACTGACCAATGTCCCTCAGTGCCACATCTCCATGGTTCTTGAATGCCTCCAGGGATACTGACTCCACCACCCCCCTGGGCAGCCTGTGCCAATGCAGTACCACTCTTTGAGAGGATTTTTTTTCCTACTATTCAACTTGACCCTCCCCTGGCATAACTTGAGGCCATCACCTCTCGTTCTTGTGGTTCCAGCTGTTTTCCCCCTGGCCACCTCAGCCAAGACCTCTTGGTAATGGCAATACTCAACATAACCTTGCTTTCTTCCATTTGAAGATCTAGCATCAGTCAGCTCAGCCTCCAGTACGACATAAATCCCATTTCCACGTTTTTGACATTCAGAGGTCATGTTGGAAGCCAGCAACAGCACTGATCCTCCAGTAGCACCCTGTTTCTAACAGCCTGGTCCCTCAGCTGCCATATATTTGGTACTAAGAACTATGCTGTTTTTGATATTATTTCCTCCCTTTGGGGAAGTCATATAGTTGTAAGTTTTCAGGTGCCTCTCTGAAGTGGCTAAATTCTCATTTCCTTGTTTATGTGCAGTCTGCAATAATGGAACAAAATCTGCAGACTTCAGGCTAAAATTACCTGCTCATGATCTACCAGCTGGTGCAAACAGATGAATCTGTGATGGTAACTAAGTCCTGTGAGCTGGTCTCAGCAGGTGCAAATTGCACCCAGTAAAGGGAAGATTCCTTGGAGAAGAAAGCCACTTTCTGTTCCTTAGAAAGTTGGTTTGGTCTTAAATGATCAAATACAGGTATGGCAGCTGAGACCTACCGAACCTGGCAAATGGATCTGGGAAGCTCTTGAAACCAACTGGTGTTCTGCATCTGTCTTGCACAGTGAAAATTCTTCTCTGTGCTGTTGGACAGTGGGGATGGGCAGGGAGAAGCATTAATGCTTGCCTAGTCCAAGAGACCCATTTAATTCCTTGCCCAAAAGCCAAGACAGCTAACTCACAGTCAGGAGAATGGAGCTTTGGAACTTTGGTATTTATCACACTCTTGTTTATTCTGAAAAAGTGAACTTTTAGGTGATTGCTTTTCCAGACAGGTGAGAAAGACAAAGATCTGAAAGGGAGGTAAAGGAAGGAGAACTGAAGATTTTTAAGGTCTTTTCTGCCAACTCAGGTTCTTTTGGCATGGCCTTGACAGAAGTCAGTAGGTATTCCTGAGGCTGGACTCAACAATCCTTATGGGTCCTTTCCAACTTGGGATATTTTATGATTCCATGTTGTCAGCTGGAGGACACCTGGAGGTTGTGGATGGTCCTTTTTGGCTGCAAGCATGAATTCAGAGGCATAGCCCCATTGTGTAAGCTGAATTGTTTTTTGCTGATACGGTACAAGTATCAGCAAAAGTGTGAGTGTGATGTTTGAAGACCCCGTACAGCTGCGGGGTGCAGCTTCACACTGCATCCTGCACTCAGCTCCTCCTTGCAGATTTTCTCAGCTTTCTTTCTAACTCAAAAGTGTGAGGAGAAGATTATGGGGCACAGGAATGAGGCAGGGAACAGGACCTTCTAAGAGGGATACCTTACAGCAAAGCCAGCAATGACTCATCTGCTCCAATTGGTGCAGAATTGATGCAGCTTTCATCTGCACACACAGAAGACAGATGAATAGATGCACTTGCTAATGTGGTGGGCAGGGAGGGGGGGCTGAAGCAGAAAAGGTGCCCTTCAAGGAGCCAGGGAAACCTGCTCCTTCCCTGTTGGTTTGTCTGGGGCTTGTTGTAATGGGTCTGACTGCACTGACCTTGAGCTGCAGCAAGCAGAACTAGCCAAGGACTTTGATGGGCAGGAATTCAGAGCGCTTTTCTTTTCCTTTTTTTCCTTAATTGCTGGTGTCAAGTTCTCTGCTTCCCCTTCCCAGCCTGGGGGGGAGCTGGTGGGAAACTGTCTGCAAGGGGCAAAGACTGTTAAACAAAGACATAGAATCAGGGAGACAGAGGGAATGAAGTGTGTTTCTCAGAAAACCTCATTCTACAGTGCTACCATCTGTGTGGGAGGCAGAAGGGAACTGGAAGGGGGAGGAATGGGCAGACGTGGAGAGAACAGCTGAGGAGGAATAAATAGATGTGATGAGCTATGGAGAAGAAAGTAAAGGTGGATAGATGGGCCATGAGAGGGAAAACTTTATGTGATGAAATGAATGAGGGAAAGGAAGGAGAAAAAAGGCCCTTCTAAAATGAGGAAATTGCTGTTCCTCTGAGCCTGACTGCTACAGAGTTGCTTGGAAATGAGCAGTGCTGGTGCCCTTGAAAGCATAGGGCTAGAAAGAGGAGAGAAAAATTAGGAAGTCTGGTGGATATTGCCAGCTTTGGGATCAGTTCTGCAGAATGCACTGTACTGCTTTTAGAGCCTGGGTTGGCAGGAAGAAATAAATGCAAAACCTGTGTTCTGCACGTTCACATAGTCCAGCAAGGACTGCAGGGCAAAGCTTCCTAGCAGAGGGAAACTGCTGGCAGAAAGCCTTTCACATGCACACTTAAGAACAGCTGATAGTGAATTTCAATTTAGTTTGGTTTCCAAATATTCTTAAATCTCTGGAATCTGCATAAGGGCAAAAAACAGCAAATATTTAGCAAAGCAGAATAGCTGCACAATGCTAGGGAGTGTGAGCAGCCCAGCTAATTGCCACTGAAGTCACCGTGTAGGTAATTGAATATTTATGATACGATGAATCTGGCTCTCCCTGTCTGAACCTCAAAGTCTGCTCCTATTGTGAGCCTCACTTTCTCTTTGTGGCCTGCGTCATCACTGCACCAGATGTAAAATGAGAATTCCTTCTTCCTCAAACCAGAAGAATAGAGCCTTGCAAATGACCACAGCTGTAGTACATAGGAATATGCCTCTGGATGCACTTAGCATTTCTACTAAGAACATTATGGAATCATAGAATCATTCAGATTGGAGAAGACCTCCAATGTTATAAAGTCCAACCATTAACCCAGCAGTGCTGAGCCTAACATGAAACCACAGCCTTAAACATCGCATATACACATCTTTAACATCTTTAAATGCCTCCAGACTTAGTTATCAGTGTCCTTTGGAGGCAATAGGAAGGAAAAGACAAGGCAGATGTCATTTAGAGAGATATTGCAAAATGAGCAAGGAAAACAACACTCCTAGTCAAGTGCATGTGCTTATCTACAAACACCCAGGCCACGGGGAAGGTCTTAATCTCAGTGAGCATCTGCAATTAGGTTTGTGTGGTACAAGATGCCCAAGTGCATGATAATCTTCAGTGAAGCACGAGGGGTGGTAGTTCGGGTTCCCAAAATGATTTAATATCAAACTCAGTGATGTCAGTAAGTGTTGCTCAGCTGCAGGCAAAGTAGACCCGGCCTATGTAGAGCAGCTAAGTGGGCATTTGGTTGCTGTGTTTTAACTGAGTGAAGAGGTGGTTTGATTCTATTCCCTGGGAGAAGTTTGAGTGAGACTGAATTGAAAATCCAAGGAGAAGGCTAGCAAATATCCTGCTCAATGCTGGTTATAAAACCCTTTGTACAGATTATTTGCCTCTTTTCAATTATTTATTTCAAAACTGGTCAGCTTGGATCACCTGAAGTCACTTGGAGCTTTCAGGCTCCACCTCACTGAATCCTGTTCAGCCACAACCCATCCGCCCTAAAAGAGAAATATGAAGTAGATGAGAAGCCTTCTGGAAGTCTCCACGCCACAAAGCCATCACCCAAATGGGAAATATGTTCTCTGTTCAGGGAAGTATACAGCATACCAGTATCATGGCCAGAAGCATGGTGTACCATGGGAGATACTGATTCCAGTGATTTTGGTGTTGCAGTTCCCCAGGTTAACTCCAGTTCACTGATGCTGGAGGAAATGCTGGCCATAGAACAAGAAATGGTTCCATGGAGAGGAGGAGACAGGGCAGTTTCTCGCACCAAGCAGGAAACTGTTGCCTGGTTTTGCTCTGAACCCAAATCTAGCATTTCTGAGTAGGTCTCCTCCAGACCATCATTTCTGCCTAGGCAGAAATTTAGAACCCATCACCTGTTAGCCTGGTTCCCAGAAGAGGCAACAGTGTGAAGCAGTGATGCAACCCTGGCACCCTCTCCTTGTCCACCATTAAAGGAGAAATCTGTCCTCTGAGCTATTATGGAAGCAATGTCTATCTGGAGAGGTTTTTGATGAGCTTCTCTATTTCTAAACCCAGACAGTGACTGAGCTCATATTTCACTTAGCAGGCATAGAGCCCTTGGCAGCACCTGTATAACCAAGATGTTGTAATCGCAATATAATCAAAAGAGTAAGGCAAAAGCAAACAAGGATCACAAAAGAGAATAAGTAGAAGAGCTTACCCTTGGGTTGAGCTCACTAGAAGATACCAAAAGAGGAGGATCTCCAGAAGAGATCCTTCCCCTCTGGTAGCCAGCTCTTAAATAGGTCCAGGAGGGGTGGAGCCTGGCTCCACCTATTCTGGCAGCACAGGTGAATTGCCTTCACCTGTGCTCCTCTGGCTGACTCAAGGCTCACCTCAGGTGATTAATCAGAGGTTCAGGCCGTGACTCAGCAGTTCCCATACAAGCACCAAAGGTCAGCTGGGAAGCAATGAAGCAGGTGACTCAGATCTGATGGCTTCCTCTTGTTTATTCATCATTTCCCAACTCAAACCTGATGTGGTGCTGATGGCAAGCCTCTCCTTGTCCCCTGTGCTCAGGGAGGTAGCTGGGGAGCTCCATCTCCCATCTCACCCTGCCCAGATGGCTGCCTTAGGTGAACTTGCTGAATTATCTTTAGGCTGCTTTCATCAGTTCCTTGGAAAAAAATGATTCCAGCTCATCTCTGTCAGCAGTATGGGTGATGTTTTGTAGGCAAACCTAGATAACCACTGCAAGGAGACAGGAGCCTGCCACTGAGACGTGGTGGATAGCCTGTCCCTGAAAACATTCGGGGCTGGGCTGGATGGGGCTCTGAGCATCCTGACTGAGCTGTAGATGTCCCCGTTCATTGCAAGGGAGTTGGACTAGATGACCTTTAAAGGTTCCTTCCAACACAAATGATTCACTGGAGTCCATACACCACGCTGCAGCAGCTGAGGTTCTGGCCCTTACCTTGCCTTACAGTAGCTTTGATAATTGAGAACCTAAACCATTTATTATCTCTATGTGGATGGAGATATCACACATTACATTAACCATTTCCTAAACTTCAGATGGGATAGTTCTACAAAACAAAAAGGGCAAGGGTGAGTTATGGTCAGGGACGAGCTGTTGATCTTCTTTCCCACGGAACAACTTGTTCTCCCTTTACCCAGGAGGAAGGCATCAAGGAATTAAAATTTGGTTGGACATGAGTACATCTTGCCACAGATAAAGGACACTGCATACAGCTAGGGATTTATCCTGTAAATGGAGTGTAGCTGCAGCAGACTTCAGTGAAGGTTGGTGTGATGTATTTGGTGTTCTCTCAAGTGCAGGCACTACAGTAGATACTTTGACTACAGCTCACAGCTCTCACAGTTTTGTTCTCCTCTTCAGGCGGGATGCCAGTAGCTCGTTCTATCTTCTTCACCCAGCTCTCATCGCTTTCCTTTCTCTTCCAGGTGCTGTATCATGTCCAGGTAGGACACCACCAGCGTGAACATCATCCCAAGGCGATCATCCCCAGGCACTGAGCTGTCCTGCTCTTGTGGCTCCTATTTCACTCAGGAGCAAGGAAAAGGCAAAGAAGACCTAGGACTGCCTCCCTTGTGCTTGGCGTCCAGACCACCTGCAGCACTCACAGGGATGGATTCCAAGGGTAACATCCGAAGTGGAAACAAACCCGATGCCAAGGCCCCCAGCTCTGGAAAGCCAGAAAAGTCCAGCCCTGGGGCTGCAACGAACGCAGACAAGAAGGATACCCCCAAAGAACAGCCTAATCCTGCCACTGCTCCCAAGAAGGCGGGCAGCGATGCTGCTGTTGTGAACAACCACAGCAACCTGAAACCCAGTGCAGCTGCCACGGAGACACAAGAGGCCACTGGCCAGTCCCCTGACTCTGACCACAAGGGAAATGGCTCCGAGGAGTCACCGGGCAGCATCTTCGACAACATGAAGCCCTTGATCATCGTTGGAGGAATGGCGGTGGCGGCGCTGGCGGTGATTGTGGGAGTGGCGTTCCTCGCCCGGAAAAAATGAAGACCGAGACAGGGTGGGCTGAGAAACCCAGCCTGGCTGTACAGCTCCTTTTGAGACAAATGCATGCACACAAATTCTATACATATCTATATAGAGAGAGCGAGCTAGATAGGTCAATGTCAAACACCAACTGCAACTCCAAGGGTCTTGTTCAAGACCACTGTGCCAGTTTGACCCGATGTGGGTAACTCCATGCACTCAGTGTGTTCTTTTCATGTAATATACCTTGGCTTATACCACTGTGTATAGATTACAGCTTCTCCTGATTGGTGTAAATGACGGTGTCCCCTCCCCTCCCCTGCTGTCCTCCCTGGGAGCCACCCCCACTTCTCCTGCAGTCCCCTGTTTTCAAGTCCAAAGTGTTCTTCATCCCATCCAGAGTCCCTGCTTTGTGTTTTGGTTTTTCTGTTCAGTTTGTTTTGAGCGAAGAGATGGAGCCTAGTGAGAAGACCCAGTTCACTTGTCCCTATGTGTGGGGCAAAGTGTGGTTTCTTTGTGTTAATTTCTTGGGGCTTTGGATAAGTCTGTTCAGCTGGTATTTTTCCACTGAAGCTATGGCCTTTCTGTACATGAGAAGGTAGGGAAAAAGGGAAACACAGGCTGGTTTCAGGGGTGGACAGGAGCTGGGACCCCATGAAAAATAACACTGACCTGCATCATGCCAGGCAAACCCTGATCAAGGTCACTGGAAAGATCCATCTGTCCTAGAGTGATTCCTCGCCTCTGACAGTAGCAGGGATTTGTGACTCCTCCACATCTTGGAAATGGAAACAAATTCCCAGCACTGGGGAGCAGCCTGGTTTTACTGGTGAGTACCTCAGGTCTAAAGCCAGACCTTCTAAGAAGGAAAAGGAAGGCAGGCAATGAGAGGATTCGGGGCCGTGGCAGATGCCCTTCCCTGACACCAAGAAGTGGGTCACTTTATCTTGCACTGTCTTTTTCACTTGGGTCAGAGCTCAGATGATGTCAGAGATTAGATGAGGTCAGACCACAGACTCCCTGGAGCTCAAAGAAGTTGCAGCCAATGGGGTTTTTGAGTGATACTTAGAAAGACCACGAGATGGTGAGGTGAGTTCAGTAGAAATCAGTTGAAGAGCCATTGTGATGTGTTTTTGAGCCTAGATGTGCACATTCAGTGTGTACTAGGCCAGAGAAAGGCATGTGTTCCCTGGGTGCTGTCTTTGCAGTACCAGCTTCCGGCAGAATTACTAGATAGGATGGCAGATGTGTATGACCCTGGTAATTCTCTTGGCTCATGTCTCCTTAATTTACCTCCAAATTTGTTTGGCTGAACGCATACAGCTTCTTCAGACAAAAAGCCTTTTCAATATAGCATGGCCACTCCTATGGTCACCCTCTTTTCCCCAAGGCTCATGAAATATTCCCAAGGCACAGAACCTCTGGGAGTATCAGATGCTGTCTTCTGATGAATGACAGGCTGCTTTCAGCATGAGTTTAATGTCTACCTCTACCTTCACCAGGACAGAGAGGAGATGTATATGTTGAGTTCACAGTGGTTTTGGAAAGAGTGCTAACAGCCCAGGAGAAATCCTGGTGGTTCAAAGCACTCCTTCCTTGTATTGTGGATATGTCTTCAAGCAGCAGTGTGTCACAGCCTGGAGAATTTTGGGGGATTGAACAGAAGGGTCTGTGGCTGGGTGCCTCATCACTTCTGTCTAAAGAATGGATTTCCCCTCATCCTGCTTTGCAGTTCAGTCATTCACTTTTGGAGGGGGGGGGAAAGGGTGAAGTAAGGGTAAAAACAGCAGAGGAGTATGAATTGGGAAAGTAGAGATGTGAGGCACAAAGTAACTCAGAAGCAGTCCTAGCACAGAACCTTTGCAGAAACTGTAGCAGGGCTTTGCAAGAGGATGCAATGGGGCTGTTGCATCTCCCTGCCTGCATCTCATCCAAGAGCTTGGGGTGATGCAGAGCACCCAGACTTTGGCAGTGCCCTTGGCATGTCCTTATGTGCAAGCCAGAAGCAAAAGGCGGCGCAGTCCAGCCAGGAACCTCATCTATGTTACTGCCCACTGGGTACAGAGTAACATATCCAAACCAGTGGTGTTTGGATACAGGGATGGATATTCCTGTGCTCTGCTTCCTTTCGAAAAAAGCTTTTGGCTGTACGGACTCTTCTTGTACCGCTTATGAGGAAGGGAAGTTGGCCACCCCTGTTCTGATTCATGTTTTACCAAAGCAGGGTTGGTGATTTTCAGACTAATGCCTCTATTTTCAACTCCTGCCTTTAAGAGATGTTCCCACCAGTCCTGTCTTCTCCTGACATGGGATATTTTTAGCAGTGTGTGACACTACAGATGCAGCATTTATCTACTCTGCACTGATCAGCATAGATCGATGCGGGGGAGAGGGGGGAAATGCCTGCCTCATTTGAGTATCTTATTATTTTATTTCTGAAGTGTTTTCATTTTCTGTGCTTAAAGTTTGGCAACAGAAAAAGGAAAAACAATTCTCAGCCAACGTGGGCCTTAACCATTCCTGTTTGCATCTGACTCCTCCTTGCCCTTAGGGCATGTGTGTGAAAGGCCAGTAACCCCATCCAGAAACACCCCACAGGGGCGGTGCCGGGACAGCAGCTCATGTTCTGGGTACAAAACCACATGCAGCCCTCCCCAGGCAGGGACTGTAATTGTCCTGTCCATAAGAGATCTTCTGCTTACTGCCATAACTTAACACTGCTGTCCAGACCTATCATCTGGAGCCCCCCTCTTTGGTTCGATTTGAGAAACACCTCTTTACGTGTGCATGTGAGTGTGTCTGTACCACCACCCTGCCTTGAAGAATATTCTGTGTTCGTCTGTATATTTACATATCTATACAACCGCAGTAAAGTCACATTCCTTGTAGGGAAAACCAAAACAAAATCTGGAGGTGACACTTCATTTGCTCCCCTGCATTCTCACAGAGTGTTCATGGTGTCTTTTTTGTGCCATGCATCACACCACGCAGCACCCACGTTTCTTTGGTCCTGGTTTCTGCTCAGTGCAAAGAATGTATGGCTGGTGAACTGCTGAATGTATCATATGCCCATTTTGCTAAAAGCTCAAAACTACTGTTCCTCTCCCTGGATAGTCGTGTGGGCTACTCGCTTGAAGTTAAGGTACTTTTAGACTATATTGAACTGTATGGACTGTGTAGCACTTGTCAAAGTGTGGGTCTAGCGTTGGCTTGAGTCAGGCAGATGAAGCGTAGATGCCACACGAGCTCCCAGTGCTGGGACCACGCACTTGCAAGTGACCTCCTCTTAGCAAACACCTCCCGTTCTGCCTTAACGTGCCCGGCTGTGCGGTGGTTTCATTCTGAGTGAAAATGTCCAGTGAGAAGTAGGCTGAGGAGAGCAAATTCCTCTCTCTCAGCATCGAAGCGAGATTGAACTCAAAGCTGTCAAGAAGCCGAAGGCTTAAATGACTGAACTCGCTGTGCTAAATAAATAGTTGTCTTTTCTCGTACTGAGCACATGCTGTTATTTGCTTGATGTTATTCTTTGTGTGGCGTTTGTGACATGAAGTCCTTCTAGTGATATCTCCATGGGGAGAATGAACTAATGGTTAAAACTAATAAGGTTCTGCACTTGGGTTTTGAAGAGATCTAGATTGCTAGTTTACTCTTTTGATAAAGTCTAAATTAGAAGTTTGACTTCACAGACTTTGCAGCATATCACTAAAAGTATAGATTCAATTACTGTACCCGATCCATAAGTTTTGGTTGGATTCAAAGAAGTTATATACTCTCTTGGGCAACTTTTTAGAAGGTTTTTGATGCTTCTATCTTTCAGAAAGATGGAAGAGGTTACAGGTCTGCTTTCACTTTCCGCTGGCTTAATAGGCTGTGGTAAGTCCTGCTACCCCCCAGCAGCTTTGCAGCAGGATGCAAACAAACCTGTGAAGAAAAGGATAACATAGCAGCACTTTCAGGATGACAAGCACTGCACAGATGCTTGCCCTGGGGCACTTCCCAGCCCCACTTGGTTTAGTGACAAATTGAAAATGGATTGGTGTCTTTGTAGGATCAAAGGTTAGCAGCTGAGCCACAGGCTGCTGGAAACAAAGGGGATTTTTCCATCAATTTCACATGCTGTGATCAGGCATTGGGGTCTTACTGGCACCAGGGACATGACAGCGGGTCACTGGAAGATTCAAAGGCATTTCAGTGTCATGTTTGCACAAAATTGGCAAAAAAGCTTCTTATTCCTCTGCTGAGTATAAGGGAAGTGTTTATCTGCACAACCATGCCTACATGGACAGTGATATTTGCCAATAGCCATCAGAATAACTTTAAAAACCAACAAACAAAAAAACTCTCTGGTGAGAGATGATTCCTGCTTAAAATTCCCCTCCTTTCTTGGAAATGCCATGAGGGTTCAGAAATCTGCCTTGTTCTAACTATTCTTAGAACTGGTTGAAAATAGCAATCCTGAAGATTTGTGAGAAAGAAAATGTTCTTCAAGAAACAAACCAAACAATGGAGGCAATGAAAAGAGTACCTGAAGAGTGAAATTCCAGGAATTGCAATCAGTTCTGCAGAGAGCTTTGGGTCAGTGTTGCTGAGGAGGGGTGAGAACCAGGTCAGAGCAAAAAGCATGGCATCGTTATTTCAGCACCTTTTAATTTTTATACCCTATCCACTTCTTTGGGGCCAGGGCACGCTGTCCCACCCACATACGTCAGGATGCAAGCTGTGTGCTACAAAGAAATCAGAAGAGGGCAACGTGAGCAGTGTCTGCCTCATTTAGTGGATTAAATATTGCTGCTCTTGTTACAGCCCGTAATCTATCCCAAAGTGCTTCATGTACTACAGTAACCATTTTTGGCATTTATTTGTCCATTGTCTCCTGCTTCCATTTCAACTGGAAATGAGTACTATTGCAAAGTTTATCTTTCTGAAGTGTTGATCATTAATGAGAAGCTATTTTTAAGTGCGAGGAACATAGAATAAGGTTAGTAAGGTTAACGCCAGCCTTAGCTGTCAAAAACAGGATAGAGAGTGCTTAATCTAAGTCCATCCTACCAAATGCAGCTGTCCAGAACATAGCTGCCATTCAGCTAGACTATGATAGCTTGAATTTAGCAGCCCAGATGATGATACAAGGTGCTGCTGAGGGGACAGCAATTTATCTGAGTCACTGGCTTAGGAGCATGCCACACGTGCCATTCAGCTCTGTTCCAACATAATTTTTTAGCCTTTTATTGCTTCTTGCATTATTTAGCTCAGATCACATTACCTCGATTGGCCCTGAGGAGTTAAACCTGTTGAGTAAAGGATTCTTCATGATGAAGACTTTCTTCCTTTTAGTTCATCACTCCAGCCATGTGACCTACTTTCCTTTTAAAAGCCTGGATTCTTAGGTTGGTCACACTAGGCTTTCATGGCTCCATTGGTTTCTAGAAATTTGGTTCATTGCTTGTTCTTTACTGCTGCTTCACTTACTGAACTGTATTCCCAGGCAACTCTGCAGATGTGACCTCTCCACAGAGAGGCAGAAGCCCTGCCCCAGTGCAGAGGCAGATTTTGGGCAGCCTCACCTAACAGATACAGCCAAAGTTCAGCCTCTCTGCACCTAGAGGGAATGCAGAGACTGTGTGGTGCAGTGGGAAATACCAAGTATTCATTTATCCCGGTTGCTAAAGCTGTGGGGTTTGAAATGCAAGATGCTTGCCTGCCACAGGAGCTCAGTAGAGAAGAAAACCGTTGCTGGAAGGTCACATTCTTGTCCTTACTCAGAGAAAAGCTGTATGGCTGCAAGCTCTTCCTGGGACTGGAGACCCAGGAGCTGCCTGCCAGTTGGATGTGAGGGTATTCAGGCTATTGGAGAGATGCTAATGCAGCGTATGCAAACACTACACCTGGCTGAAGCTAGGAATGCTCTGGTACTCTACATATTGGAGCACCAGAAATACAGGCAGAGAGCTGGCTCTCAGCTGAAGTCAAGGTTCTGCATTTTTGCTGGCCTTGCAGAGTCAGACCATATGTAGGTAATGCACTGCAGCCCTCATCCTCTACAAGCTGCAGGACTGAGGACACAGAAGACTGCAGGAATGTTTCTGTTTGACTGGGCTGCTCGAGTTTTATGAAGTTACACGAGACGGCGGGACCTGGAAAATTCACATCATTCAACAAAACCATACTAAAAAGCTAGCACTCAGTGCATGCAGAAAAGATCACAGTAATTGGTTTTCAAATGCATGAGTTTGGCTCTACCCCGCACTCTCATTCTGCTGGCTGCTTTGTAAAGACTTGATCTCTTCCAACCAAAATGATTCCAAGTGTTTGCTCTGTTTGGACACTGACAAGCAGTGTGTAGGGAGACACATTCTCTGCTCCTGGAGGCTGTGCTCTTCGGATTAAATAGATCTTTTTTGCTGAAAAATATAATTTGGATTAAATAGGATTTAGACCAGCAGCATTGGGCTATGTTACTCTTGCTCTCATTATTTTTTTCCAGTTGTTACCAGCTTGAAATTCCCAGACTACTCCATTCTAGTTTTTAATTTCTCATAATGCAAATCTGCAGTGCAGGATCCGAAGAATAAAGTTATTGTTTCCTTCTGTCCATGCATGATGATGCTCCAGTACCAAAACTCCCAGCAGGAAGAGAGGACTCTTTAATCAACCCCGCAACCGTAAAGACCTGCATTGTATCCCTGGTTTTGCCTCATCAGCTTCAAGCAGCCAAGTTTCTGGGACAATGTGATAAGAACAAGGTGCCATACAGTTTGTTTCAAAAACAGCAACAACAAATGAATCATTTGGCTTTATCCAGTTTTGAGCAGCCCTTCTTCAGCCTGATGCCTTTTTCTGAGTCACTGGTTATAACCCTTTCAGTCCAAATCTTTAAAAGGTGTAACCTCAATTCTCCAGTACAAACCAGCTTCCTTCTAGTAGTAGGTGCAGGTTGCTTATAAACTTGTAGAGAAACTAAAATTGTAGAAAGGGAACTCGAAGGTCCGATTACAGGGGATTTCTTTTCTTCTTTTCAGTTTGCTTTTATTCTGTTACTTCGCAGGGACTGACTCAAAGCCCCTGGAAGTCAGATGGGAAGCTGAACCACTAGCAGCAGGGAAATGCCTGCTGTGACATCCGTGGGTTTTGCATCAGCCCCTGGATGCGTTTTCCAGTTGATAATAATTTTCAGAGTGACATTTTGTCACTCTGCAGACCTGCTTGTCACTTACACATATTTACTTGTGTTCAACATACAGGTTTGGGTTGATTTTTATTTATTTATTTTTTTTAATTTCAGAAACAGTATGCTGCTAGATACATTTCCTGGAGGGAAATGGACACCTACCTACACACAAAGCTATAGAGCTAATTTATACCTTGTTGAATTTATAACCTTGTCTATGCTTCTATGGACACTTTGTATGGGCTGCAGCTCAAATCCTAAAATAGTCAAGAATTTTTCCTTTCCCATATAGTATTCTATTTACTTTGACTTAAAAAAAAAAAAAAAAAGCGTATAAATGCAATAATGCAGGTAGACTAGAAATACTAGATTGAAAATTAAAGTAGTTTAGCTTGTCCCGTTGTGACTGACAGTGTTGTACGACACCCAACGCTGTATCCTAACATTTACCAGGCTTTCTACATAGCTGAATCTAGTATTAGCTTTGAAAACCCATTGTATGAGTGGTGGGTGGATGGGCTGGAAATGTGTACTCTCTACACACTGTATGTTACTCACATTAGAAGCTGTATGGCCACTCCATATGCTGTGAAACTGTAAATGATTCCCAATACACCTGTAACTCTTACAAGGATTGTGAGAAATAAACTATATATAGAGATATATATACAGATATAGATATATTGTATAATTCCTCCTGTGAGCATCTTTGTTTATGCGGGTACGCGAGTGAAAATACCTCCCTTCCTCTCACTCCTCAGTCACGGTCATGTTTTCTGAAGGCAAGGATCAGAGATCCCAGTAAGAACCATAGCAAAATGAAATCCCTGCCCAGAATAAACTCCAGCCTACCTGAGGAAAACAGGCCAAGGAAGATTATTATTATTATTATTCCCAGATAGGGGATGAACTGTAGAATAGCTGAATGACTTATCCAGAGCCATCCAGGCAACACCTTCTGATCCCAGAGATCCCCGTTCTGCTGGCTGGTTTGTCTGAATCGGAATCCTGTCTCTGGGGAACTGGGATGGGCAGATGCCTGCTCTTCCAGCTAGTGAGTGTGAAGCTTAATGTTCCTTGAGCCAGTGGGGAAGGGGTGAGCATCTGGAAGGGTAGAAACCTCTCCTGCCCTCCATGGGCTGCTCAAAAGCACTGATGCAGGGGGAAATGCATCTTCCTTCCAGAGAGAGGCCCTTGTAGCAGAAATGGGTGTGCAGACATGATATCATCCTTCCTGTCTTTCCTTTACCTTTATCCTTCCTTATTAAAAAAAAATTTAAATGCATGTAAAGCAAGGCTATGTTTGCAACTATCCTAAGCTACAAACTGCTCTTCCCCTCTCTTTTCATTTCTAGCCATCATTCAGCCCAAAAGGACATGATACAAAATCACCGCACTCCTGAGAAATGCTGTGGTTATGTTGTACCACACCAGATTCAAAGAGGAAGCACTCAGCCAACTCAACACAACTGCAACATCCAGGCTTTACTAAAGCAAACTGAGAGAAGTAGCAAATATTTTTTATCATCCTTGTGATTCTACAGCAGTGCTAGCTGCTTGCTAACCTCCCACATTCAGCAGAGTCCTCACTGCAAGAGAAATGAACAGAAGAGCTTTTACAAAACCTCTCTGCATGTGCAAAGCAGAGACACTGGCACTGGAAGATCGAGAGTTGAGGTCACCCTATAATTTAATTTCTAAGGAATTGGGGCTCTCATACGCTTCTTCTTTTTTTTTTTTTCTTTCTGTATGTTCTCACCTTAAATCACTGCCAGGTGCACTCATGCTTTATATTTTTGGGCAGTCTAGGGAGGATAGGAAGAGCTGGTGGAGCAGAACTTGACACAATGGTTTGCTTTCTGCTCTTGCATTTACAAAATAAATTAAAATGGATTCACAGGTAAGGAAGTAGGACTACAAATCCAAAGCTCAGTACCACAAGGACTGAAGCTGCTGGAGGAGCACCACGTTCCCTGCAAGGTGGATACAGAGAATAAGGCAGTTTGTTTGGAGTTTAATCATTTTCTGGGAGCTCAGATTGAAAAGACAGGAGTGTCCAGGCGCCTCCATGTGTAACACAGTTGTGGGTTTGGAACACTTCTTGAGAAAAAACGAGGTTGGCAGACAGACAGCATGAGGTATGAGCTGCCTTTCCTATAGGAAACCAGGCTGGAAATCAGGTCCCTTCCAAAAATCGCACAGAAGTAGCAGCAGAATTGTCTTCTTTTCATTTTATAACCTATCATTTTGTGACAGTTTCTTCGTAACACACTCACAACCATCAAGACGCAGACCAATGAAATTAACAGAGATGGAAAACGCAAATCCAGGGTTTACAGAAACCATACCACCATGTAACCAAGAGCAGCAATGCCTGCAATAAATGTTATCCTTGAGGAACGTTACTAAAATCCCAGACTGAACACAGAGAAGACGAATCAGAAGACACGTGAAGGACGGGATGGGAAGGACACTTTCTGGGAGGTTTGGATGGGTTTATTAATCTCACGACATAGGGCTCCACTGAGAGGCTCTGGTTCAGATGAAGAGGGATTTGGGGAGAAAGGTGGAAACCCAACACAGCAGCCACTGGTCTGGGCGCTGAATATTAGGCGATACATTGACATTACACTGTTTTTTCGTTCGCAACATGCTATCGCTGGCATAGGGAGGTCGTCGGTGCAAGCACTCAGCGTTTCAGCCCAACAGATTTGAAGAGGGCGGGATATAAAACCGGCATAAAAAGCCAAATATCAACATAAAATCCGATGAGGAAAGACAGAGCCTACGGAAGGGTACCTGAGCACGGCGGCCACTACACATCAAGGCGCATGCGGATGGGGTAGCACCGACGGGTTTAAAGGAAGGCAGCGCAGAGCAACCTATCATGGCGGCTGCCCTCAGTTTTCCCGCCCAAGGGTCGCGGCGCGCGGCTCTCCGCCTGCCCCGAGTGCGCATGCGCGGCTGCATGAGGCGCCGGCTCCGCGCACCACCGCCCGTCCCTGCCATGTCGGAGCGGCTCGGCAAACCCACCTGCCTCCTCGTTGCCAGCGCTGCCGCCGCGGGTGAGCCGCTCTGGGGGCAGCCCCGAGTCGCCCAACGCTCTCCACCCTCCCTCCCGGCCCGGCTGTGCGAGTTGCTCCGGCCCCTTTTCCTGTCAGACCGGCTCCTCCCCTCCGCGGTGCGCGGCCCTATGGTGTTCGTGTGGTCCCGCTTCCCGCGCGGGGCCTTGAATTAACATTCTGACGATCTCCTGAGCTTTTAAATGACCTGAGGTAGGTAAAATCCCGGCTGGCGGTACAATGCAGCTGTTGGGCTCTGTTTTCCAGGGGTGTCAGCCCAGTCCTTCCTGCAGTGTTTCACGCTGAGCAGCTCTGCCTTCAACCTGCAAGTTGCCACTCCCGGGGTGAGTAAGAACTGGAATTGTGATTTCAGGCTAAATCCCTGGTATGTGTGAGCTTACTGTCTGCATGCACCCTGGGAGAGCTGCGGGTGCAATTTGGGCAGTATGGTGTTGCCCATCAGGTTGTATCAGCATGCATGCTGCCAGTATGGCTTGCAAGGGATGAGGTAAAGAGAGGCAGGGCCCAAGGAGCCTGCCACTCTGTTATATGAGGTGCGGGGAAGGTCCTGCTGAGATGGACCAGTTGTAAAACTGGGTACTGTGTAAGGTAGAGGAGCAGGAGAGGCACCTGAAGCCTGTCTGCTGCTTGGTGGCAGCAGGGAGGGGGCCAGAGGCTGGCACTGTTCCCTCTCTGCTGCTGCAGCAGAGTCTGGTAGAGTTGGAACAGTGGGCAGTGGCTTTCTTAAGATGATTGACTGGTGGGGACCCATGGGTGCCACTGCCTGGACAGGTGCTAGCAAGCGCCTCTCTTCCCCAGCAGCTGTTTCCTGCATGAGCTGGGTGCTTGCACTGCTCCTCAGGTGGCTCTTGTTCAGATATCACCCTGCAGAGCAGGGGCAGCCATAGAATCATAGGCCTGCTATGTGCAGGGCTGCCAACCACCAGACCAGGCTGCACAGAGCCACATCCAGCCTGGCCTTGAATGCTTCCAGGGTTGGGCATGCACAACCTCCTTGGGCAACCTGTTCCAATGTGTAAATGTCTGTGTCTCATTGCTTCAGGCCAGCTGTTCACTTGAAGTATTCAAGCAGTTGTGGATAATCTCTCTTGAAGCATGGGTAGCAGTAGAAAAGTAACTAAAAAAAAATACAAAGGAAAAGAGTTAGTTGTTCTCGGTTTGAGACTGAGACAGCAAGACACAGGAACAAAGATGAACAGACAACCATGTTGCTAGAGACAAACATGGTTATTAAATAAGTCTATCAGTCAGATTAATCCTACAGTTTAGGCTGACTAAAACAAGATGTGTTGGAAATAGTTAAAATAAATAGACTCATCATATCCTGATTTACTTTTCTTTCTATTCCTTGAGTTCAAACTTGGATAGAAGCCAAACTTATTTTATCCATATTTATACTACTCAGCAATGCCACCTCTAAAATACCTTGAAACAGCCAGAGAAAGAAGTGAAGATCAGAACATCTGCTGTCATTCTCATCTCCTCTATTACTGCTTATTTTATTGGAACCTTCATCCCTTCTGCCAGAATATGGTGGGAGTTGGTTTGTGAATTGAGCAACTGGTGTACCTTTCTATGAGCTTCTTTCTCTACCAGAAATCAGTTTCCCAAGCAACATTAACAAAAGCAAATAGCAATATTTTCTCAGTTTGTCACCATGTTTTGCAGATGCTCCTTGACTTCAGTAGCACAGTTCTGCAAGGAAATAGCTGTGTATGTGAGTGCTCAGCAGTCTCCCAAAGACTGCTTTGTAGGTCCAACCAGAAAAAGACACTACATCCATTTTGCTGATGGCATAAACAGGAGATGTTTATGATTCCTGTGCTTTTACTTGAAAACATCAGGATGTGAGCTAACAAAATCAGCTACATGCTTTGTGCCTTCTAAATCACACCCTTCTCTATAAGATCATGCGCTTAATCTGTAAAGGCAAAGTTTGATGTAGAGATGTTGTCTAGATGCAAGATTTGAGTGTATCCTGAGTTTGAAGGTATCGCTAAATTGGAGGAGCTGTTGACTGTCTCAAGGGTAGAAAAGCCTTGCAGAGGGATCTTTGACAAATGTGAGGGCTGGGCAGTAACTGAGCGTGTCAAGTTAAGAGCAGGTGCCAAATTCTGCACCTGAGCTGCAGCAATCCAGGACATACATAGAGTCCTGGGGACAAGAGGCAGGAGAGCAGCCCCATAGAAAGGGATCTGGAGGTTCTTGCTGATGGCAACCTGAAGCTGAGTCAGCAGTGTTCCCTGGCAGCCCAAGGGGCCAAACCATACCCTGAGGTGATGCATCAGGCCCAGCACTGCCAGCTAGGCAAGGGAAGAGATTATCCTGCTCTTTGTTGGTGTGGTTTCACCTCGAACCCTGTGTGACATAGACAGTGGTATGGAGTGTACTTTCAGCACTTTGCTGATGGCACTGAGCTGTGTGGTGCAACTGATACAATGAAAGGAAGCAGTGCCATCCAGAGGGACAGGTTGTATCCTGGGCTGCATCAACAGAGGGGTGGCCAGCAGGGCAAGAGTGTTGTTTGTCCTCCTCTGCTTTGCCCTTGTTAGGCCCCATCTGGATTTCTGTGTGCAGATCTGGGGCCCCCAGCACAAGGGAAATGTGGAGTTGTAGCAGATCCAGAAGAGGCTATGAGCATGCTCAGAGGGCTGGAACACCTCTCCAATGAGGAAAGTTTGAGGGAGAGCTGAGCTTCTTCAGTCTGGAGAAGGGAAGGCTCTAGGGAGACCTTATTGCAGCACAGGTAGGTAGTGATAGGACAAGGGGGAAGATTTTAAAGTAAAAGGGGAGATTTTGTAAAGTAAAAGATTAGATGTGGAGAAGAAATTCTTTGCTCAGAGTATGGTGAGGCACTGGCACAGGCTGCCAGAAGAAGCTGGAGGTGCCTATTCCTGAAGCATCTCGAAATCTCCCGTGCTTGTCCTTCAGGAAATGTAGTAGAAACCTGTGTGCTGATGCTAACTGTAGCTTGCAAACCTTTTTTCCACTAGGGCAAGTCGATTGATTTTGTGGATGTGAATGAGAGCAACATGCGCTGGATACAGGACTTCCGTATGAAGTCATATGCAAGCCCTGCCAAGCTGGAGTCAATTGATGGTAAGGTGTCACTTCCATTTATCAGGGAAACAGATTCTTCTTCGTGTTGTGCTTTTAGAGAAGAAGGGTACAGAAAAGGCATGAAAGCTTTTGTTTTAAGTGGAAGCCATAGCAACCGCGTTTATCTTCCTTCTTACTACTATGTCATATTTTAGCAAAATGCTTATTAAGAAAATTACTATCTGAAGTAGCAGACAGAGCTTTTAAGCTTTGTCTATGTAAGAAACATCTCATTAAAAATGTGTCCTAGGACAAAGAACTCCTACCTCCTCTTCTATTCCACATAGATCATTCAGTTTCCTTAGTTCTTTCAGTCTATGAAGCTTTTGAACAACTTATACACTGTTGTCTGAAGTTTATTGAATCTGAAATGAATTTATGGTCAGGTGGTTTTTTAGTTAAGTTACTTTTTTTCCTCTATACTAGGTGCTAGATACCATGCACTGCTGATTCCAAACTGCCCAGGGGCTACGACTGATCTTGCAAACAGTGGGTACCTGGCAAAGATATTGCAGCACTTCTGCACAGAGAACAGTAAGTGAACATCGTCTCATAGGGAAGTCCTAATTCCCTGGCATGTACTGGAAATGTAATACAGCACAGAAGAAGCAGTCTAGGGGTTTCTAGAATGTGTGGAAGATAATTTAATGATGCAGTTGATAAGAGAGCATACCGGGGAGGTGCCTCATAGATGTGATGTTCACAAACAGGGAAGGACTGCTGGGAGATGCAGAGGTTAGGAACTGTCTTGAGCAGTGCAACCATGAGATGTTAGATTTTCTTGGTGAAGTCAGGAGGGAAACTCAGCAAAACTGCTGCCTTGGACTTCTGGAGGGGCAGACTTTGAATTGTTCAGGACACTGGGGGGGAGAGGAGGGAGTCTCTTGGGATTCAGTCCTGAAAGTTAAAAGGGGTCCAAGAAGGTTGGTCACTCTTAACAAAGGAAGTGTTAAAGGCACAGGAGCAGGATGTCCCCTGTGCCACAAGATGAGCTGGTGGGGAAGAAGGCTGATGTGGATGAAAAGGGAACTGAAGCTCCAGGAGCAGAAGTCTGACCTCCTGTGGAAGAAGAGATGGGCAACCTGGGGAGAGTACAAAGAAATTGTTAGGATATGCAGGGAGAAAATTAGAAAGGCAGAAGCCCAGCTTGAACTCAACAAGGTCACTGTAATAAAGGGCAACAAAAACTTAAATGAATATATTAGCAATAAGAGGAGGGCTAACGAGAATCTTCATCCTTTAGTAGGTGCAGCAGGGAACGTGACTGCTGAAGATAAGGAAAATGCTGGGGTTCTCAGTGCTTTCTCTACATCTGCCTTTAAAAGTCAGATCAGTTATTCTCAGGGTACTCTACCCCCTAACCTGGAAGTGTGGGATGGGCAGCAGAATAATTGTTTCCACCTGAATCATGGGGGGGTTTAAAGACCTACTGTCCCACCTGGACTGCTGCAAGTTCATGGATTGAGATGGGATCCATCTGAGGGTGCCGAGGGAGCTGGTGAAGTTGATTGCTAAGCTGCTTTCCACCATCTATCAGCATTCCTGGAGAGGTCTTGGGGGTTTGAATGCTTGCCAACATGACTCCCATCTACAGGAAGGCTTGTATGGAGGATCTAGGAAACTACAGGCCTGTCTGCCTGACCTCAGTGCCAGGAGAGGTTATGGAGCAGATCATCTTGAATGAGATCCCACAGCATGTGTGGGACAGCCAGGAGATCAGGCCCAGTCAGCATGAGTATATGAAAGGCAGGTCCTGCTTGACCAATACGGTCTCCTATGAGTGGGTGAACTGCCTTGTTGATGTGGGCTACCTAGAATTTGGCAAAGCCTTTGACTCTGTCTCCCACAGTGTTCTCCTGGAAAAGCTGGCAGCCCATGGTTTGGACAAGTGCACTCTTTGCTGGGTAAAGAACTGGCTGGATGACTGGGCCCGGAGGGCAGATGTTATGGAATGAAGTCCTACTGGCAACTGGGCATGAGTGGTGTTCCCCAGGGGTCAGTACAGGGACTCATCCTGTTTAATGTTTATTGATGATCTGGATGAGGGAATTGAGGTGTGCTGTCAGTAAGTTTATAGATGACTTGAAACTGGGAGGAAATATTAATCTTGAGAGGAGGAAGGCCCTTCAGAGGGATCTGGACAGGCTGGATTGCTGGGCTGAGGATGATGGGATGAAGTTCAACAAGACCAAGTGCCAGGTCCTGCACTTTGGTCACAACAGTTGCAGGCAATGCTATACGTGTGGGGCAGAGTGGCTGGAAGAAACTGACCAACACCCCCAGGTCTGTGTTTGGCTGAACATGAGTCAGCAGTGTGTCCAGGTAGCCAAGAAGACCAGTGACATCCTGGCTTGTGTCAAAAATAGTGCAGCCAGCAGGAGCGGGGGGATGATGGTATTTCCTGTACTCAGCTCTGATAAAGCCACATCTTGACTACTGTATTCAGTGTTGGGCCCCTCACTACAAGAAAGACATTGAGGTGCTGGAGAGAAGGGCAGCAAGGCTGGTGAGGGGTCTGGAGCACAAGTGTTATGGGGAGTGGCTGAGGGAGCTGGGATTGTTTCTTCTGGAGAAGAAGAGGGTCAGGGAATACCTTACCATCCTCCTGAAAGGAGGCTGTGTGGAAGCTGGGGGTCTGCCTTTTCTCCCTGGTAACCATAAATAGATGAGAGGGGATGACCTCAGGTTGCACCGGGGAGGTTCAGGTTGGCTGTTTGGAAAAAAATTCTTCTCCAAAAGAGTGGTCAGGAATTGGAATGGGCTGCCCAGGAAGATGATTCAAGAAATGTGTAGATGTGGAACTAAAGAACATGGTTTAGTGGATGACATTGGAGTGGGTGGATGGTTGGACTAGATGATCTTGGAGGTCTTTTCCAACCTTAATGATTTTATGATAATTAGATACTTTGCTAAACGAGATAGTCTTGCATGAATACTAAGTAGTAGGACTGTTACCTGAAGAATGCTTACATGGTAGTTCTGGAGTGTTGCAGCATTCAGAATTGTAAAGAGGTGGCTTTAACTCTGGGGGGTATCTTCACTTAAATAGTACCTTCTTTGTTCAAATAAATAATTTTGTGCAAATATTTTTTTGTGAGGAGATTCTCAGATACAGAAATGCTTTTCTCCTGGTTGATAGGATTCAAGGTTCAAAGCCAAATATGGGATATACCAGACTAGTCATTAAAGCCCCAGCAGACTGGTATTTTTGGCAGTTTGAAGATGCTTACAGTTTCTTAAATGTGCTTTGATCTTTCTCTAGAGCCTATCTGTGCTGTTGGACATGGTGTTGCAGCTTTGTGTTGTGCCACCAATGAGGATAAAACCTGGGTATTTCAGGGATACAGCCTGACAGGGGTAGGTTGAGCTTTCATCTCGCTTCCTGGGATTTTTTTGTTATCCTTTTACAAGGATCTTATCTGGGGCCCTGTGGCTTGAGATGGTGATGCCATCTTATGCTAGAACTTATTCTAGAACTTTCTACACACAAATCCATCAGCTTGGTGTGCTTAATTTACATTCAAGGAGCTGTTATTAGAAGGGGGCCCAACACCACTCATGAGGGGATTGTTTCACTTCTCCTCACACACTGGGAGTGCTTTATTTCTCATATACATTCAGGACATGAATGTATTAGTGTGTTAGTCCTTGGAAAGCTTCAGAACTGAGGGTGGGGAGAACTGTGGGTATGATATCTGTTAAAGATGCTGCTTACCTGTTCTAGTTGAGTAAGAAGTGTTTGAATATCGAATGCATGGGGCAGATCTTCCTATGGTGTCATTCTTTCCTTTGTTGCAGGAGGATTTTCAGTTTGCTACCTGAGGAAAGTCCGTAGAAGCTGTCTGTAGTCGCTTAGTTTTCTGCTTTGTTTCACTTTCATGGTAGTAGGAACAGAAAATATATATTACAGAGTTATGCCCACCTTTTATTTCTACAAAAGCAAGACAATTACTTTTTTCTTTTTCAGCCCTCTGTGTATGAACTAATAAGGCAGCCTAATTTTGCCAGTTTGCCCATTATTGTGGAAGACTTTGTGAAAGATTCTGGAGCTACGTTTAGCGGTACGTCACTCTTGTTGACCAGCACTTTGTTTTGTGGCTGTGTTGAAAATAAACATTTGCATGCCCATTTGATGCAGGAGAGTTTCCACTGCTGTGCAGATCTGCAGTCCATGCCTGCAGGGGAATGTCTGTGTGTAGGCAGTGTTCTGTAGCTGTTTCTTTGCTGCGTGGCAGGGAGCGTATGCTCTGCTGGGAGAGGTTAAGTGCATGAGGATTTGGGGCTTTTTTTCAAGCAGAACATGTTGCCTTGTTGAGAAATGGAGGCAGTATATTAAATGCTTTTGGTTACTCTCGTCAGTTATCCTCTAGCTCTGAATAAAACATGTGATGATCAATCTCATTTTTTCAGTATTAGTCATTTCGTTGTTTATTATTAGCTAAATGTGGAAGCTTACCATTCAAGGGACCAGTCCTTCTGTCCTTTTAGAGAAGGGCTTTCTAGTGAAGCTGTTGCAGGACGGGGTGCTCATGATCATCCCTGTCTGTTGGGGCTATAGATTCACTGAGCAAATCTCCCTGGTCTCAGTAGTTACCTTCTGCATTAGTTTTATGAGGTGAAACACTGAAACTGAAGCAGTGTCCACTAACACACCTGTTGTTTTTTTTTCCTCCTATATGCAGCCAGCCAACCAGATTCTGTACACGTTGTGCTGGACAGGCACTTGGTGACAGGACAGAATGAAAATTCCACCCTTCCAGCTGTCCAGAATCTTCTTATTCTTTGCAATGTCAGGTGAGGCAATATGGGAGGTGAGGACTAGGAACAGATAATGTCAAAGGATCTTTAGCTCCAGGAGTCTTGCCCCCAGACGTGTTCTTCCTTATTTAGCTGCTGTAGTGCATATTGTCTGTGCTTGGATCTGTCTTTCAGACTGATAAGTCTTTTGTTAAAAAGGCATTTGTGTAAAGTGAGTAGGGAAGTGCAGACTTAGTCATCAAGACTGGTGGAGTGGAGCAGTAGGCTTTTCTAAATAGTTCTGTTAAGCAAAATTTCTCTTGTGTGGTTTTTATTTGTGCTTTCCCAGGTTAGCATTTAGCTATATGTTAGGATTCTGGGAATTAACAGACTTAATTTCTTTGCTAATAGCTTGGCCGTTTGACCTGTCTCTTTCATCTTGTCAGATAGAGGATTGCTTTTAAATAACCACAAAAATCTTCTTTTGTTCAGGTGAATGTGTGTTAGAAGTCCTTTCCTGGATGTGGACTAACAGGTGATGTCATGTTTGGATGTGTTTCATTCAGCAGGAAATAAAGGAGAAGGTCTCTTTGCAAATAGGATGGACGAAGAGCCAGCAGGCTAAGGACTCACTTGACTTTTAACTGGATAAAACGTGTTTAAATTTCTATCCTGGACTATGAAGTGACTGTGATGTTGAAGTGGCAGTATTAGGTTCTCTGTATACAGAATGGAGGAATGTTGTGGGTAAGAGAATTTGGAAGTGCATCATGCTTCAAAGCAATTATGAAACCACCTTGTTTGTTACTGCATCTTCACTGCTCTCCAGACCCTTACCTTACAGTGATAACTGGTGGTACCAGCAACTTACCTGTTTAAAACAAAGAACAAAAAATCAGTGGCTATGAATATTGTTCATTGAGGATGAAGACAGTGTTCTTGGCTGACATCATACCAATCATCATTTCTAGTTCAAACACAAGAATCTTCACACGGATGTGTCCTTTCAGAGGTGTTCTTAACCTTCCTTCCTTTTTCAGTTACTGTCTGAATTCAGAATGCATCTGTGACACTTCAGTATGCTTGGAACAGGATGGAAAATGCTGAGCTGTGTGCAATAAAGCAGGATCAGTTGTCTGAAGATGTTTCACTGTGGTGCTGCTGCTGGCATGACGTGCCCTTGTTTTCCTCTTGCATGTTCACATGAATGGTCTACAGTTTAAAATTATCTTTAAATTGCCTTCTGTTTGGTTAGCTGCTGTGCTTTGTGGTGTTTGTGTCACCATTGTTGTTTCTCTCTGGCAAGTATGTTGCAATTGTCTTGCTGAAATCTTATGGACAAAAGAAAAGACGTAGTGGATAGCATGGATCAGTCTTGTGAAGAACTGTAAGATAAAATCTGACTTTCTGCGTATCAGATGGAACTGTATTGTTGTTGTTTTTTTTTTTGTTTTTTTTAACACTTTCACCTTTGGTTTAAATCCTCATTTCTGACAAGCTTGTGTAGAGATTTGTTAGTTTCTGTCACCATCAGGACATACTTTCCATCTGGATTTCTAGCAGACTGTCTGCTGAAATGACGTAGAAGGCTTTTTGTGCTTGTGCTGCAGTAGCATTTGTAGTTAGGGTCATTTTGTTTTGGATGTTGTGTGGCTACAGCAAGGATGCTCTGTCCTTAAAAGCTTTAAATACAAAAGATGAGTCTTCCCACCCCAGGCCCCATTGACTTTCTGAGCTTCTATGTAGGGAACGTGGGCTGTACTTGGGTATTTCACATCCTGGAGGAGATGAGTGGCTCCTGTGATGAAAGAGTTCTGGATCTAAACACTGACTGCAACTGCAAAGCAAAATCTTCTTTCTGAAAGTACTTGAGAGGCTACAAGCCTGTCATTTTTCAAACTTTGCTTCCATGCAACTTTGTCTAAATAATTAGACCTCCTGTTTCCTGTCTGTGCATCCACTCACGAGGACCTGGTGTCGGCACCGACCACACACAGCCTCTGGGACACCTGCGGTGCGACAGTGTGGTGGTATGGGGATGCACAAGCTCAGTTCCTTCAACCTTTCTGTTTAGGAGAGGTGCTCCAGCCCTCTGATCATCTTATCAGCCCTCATCTGCACCCACTCCGAGAAGTTGACTTGTTATTAGACAAGACCAATTCATTTTTTATTACTTTATTTTATTATTTTCCATCCTGGCTGGCGTCACAGCCCCTTCCTGATCCCTGCCTTGGCTGGCTGGCTGGAGTCGCGGCCCCTGCCTGCCTGCCTTGGCTGGCTGGCTGGAGTCGCGGCCCCTGCCTGCCTGCCTTGGCTGGCTGGCTGGAGTCGTGGCCCCTGCCTGCCTGCCTTGGCTGGCTGGCTGGTCTCGTGGTCCCTGCTTGGGTCGGCTGGAGTCGTGGTCCCTGCTTTTGTCAGCTGCAGTCGTGGTCCGTGCTTGTGTCGGCTGGAGTCCCGGCCCCTGCCTGCCTGCCTTGGCTGGCTGGCTGGAGTCGCGGCCCCTGCCTGCCTGCCTTGGCTGGCTGGCTGGAGTCGTGGCCCCTGCCTGCCTGCCTTGGCTGGCTGGCTGGTCTCGTGGTCCCTGCTTGGGTCGGCTGGAGTCGTGGTCCCTGCTTTTGTCAGCTGCAGTCGTGGTCCGTGCTTGTGTCGGCTGGTCTCGTGGTGCCTGCCTGTCTGCCTTGGCTATCTGGCTCGCTGGAGTCCAGGCCCCTGCCTGCCTTGGCTGGCTGCCTGGCTGGCATTGGGGTCCCTGCTTGCGTCAGCTGGAGTCGTCATCCCTGCCTGCCTGCCTTGGCTGCCTGGCTGGAGTTGTGGCCCCTGCCTGCCTTGGCTGCCTGGCTGGCTGGAGTCGTGGCCCCTGCTTGGGTCGGCTGGAGTCGTGGTCCGTGCGTGCTTGCCTTGGCTGCCTGACTGAAGTTGTGGTCCCTGCTTGCGTTGGCTGGAGTCGAGGCCCCCTCCTACCTACCTTGGATGGCTGGCTGGAGTCGTGGTCCCTGATTGCGTCCGCTGGAATCGTGGCCCCTGCCTGCCTTTATTGGCTGGCTGCCTTGCATCACAGCTGGTGTTCTGTTGCCAGGTTTCCCATATTTAGTGCTTTTGTCAGGGAGGTGGCTCATGGCATCATAAAGCCTTGGCTATGCATGCCTTAGAATGTCCCTTGACATCTAAAACATGGCTGCACTGGAGGACTGGGTGACTTGTCCTGACAGTTGCCCTATGTGTCACCACTGGGATTCTGCAGGGCTCCATTTTAAGGCCATTTCTCTATCTTGTTTTTAATGTTGATTCCAATAAAGATCTGTTAGTTGTATCAATCAATTTGTGGATGATGCTAAGCTGGGAGGAGTTTAGACCTCCTTGAGGATAAAGAGGCCTTGCCTTGAGATCTGGACAAAATGAGGGTGTTCCCATCTGCACGAAGAAGGGCGAGCGCTGGGTTCTGCACCTGGGATGGGGTGCCCTGGCTCTGTGTGCAGACATCAGGGGGGAAGTTCTGGAGCGCAGCCTGGCAAAAAGGGATCTGGTTTGACGGCCAATGGAATCTGAGCCGGCAGTGCGCCTGGCAGTCAGAAGGCTCAACCGTACCCTGGGCTGCGTCAGGCCCAGCACTGCCAGGCCAGGGAAGTGGCTGTCCCGCTCTGCTCTGTGCTGTGCGGCCTCGCCTCCAGCGCTGGGTGCAGCTTGGGCTGCCACTCCATGAGATGCTAGGCGAGAGTGTCCAAAGGAGGGCTCCAGAGCTGGAGAAGTTTACATCACTGATCCTCCAGACGAACCTTCCCAGGAACGCACACTCTGTATAGAGGTGTAGAGATGTATATTTTGTCAGACACACCGCAAGAATATCCTGCACGAGAGCAAACCAGACAACAAGTGATGGCCTGCCCGAGGAAGCGCCTGAAGAGACATGGGAAGGCCTGGCATCATCCCCCAGTGCTCTTTGTTCAACGAAGACTTTAAAGAAAGTCGCCACATCAACAGGACAAGGAGAGCACCGAGACATCTTGGAAACAACAGGATGGCTGCTGACTGACACCAGGTAACAAATAACTTCACAAGTCAATAGCAAATGTCAACCTTCTGAGAAGGTTGTGCACCTGGAGTACCCAGCCAGTGGGGAAACAGGGGAGGGGGGAGGCAAGGGGGAGCAAACAGGGTCTAAAGGCTGTCACAGCGTGTCCATAGGTGCGCTGCTGCTTGCGGGACGCCGCCATTGCAATCGCGAATCAATTCTGCTTTATCAGAGATCCCGTCCTGACAAGATGACTTGGATATTTCCAACAAGACCATTCCCCCTTGTCCAAGCACTGCGACCCTCATAATCAGCCATTCCCCTCCTCTTTATACGCTCCCTTCAAGTACTGCAAGGCCCTGCAGCCTTCTCTTCTCCAAGCTAAACAAGCCCAGTTCCTTCAACCTTTCTGCTTAGGAGAGGTGCTCCAGCCCTCTGATCACCTTATCGGCCCTCATCTGGACCCACTCCGAGAAGTTGACTTGTTATTAGACAAGACCAATTCATTTTTTATTTATTTATTTTATTATTTTCCATCCTGGCTGCCGTCACAGCCCTTTCCTGACCCCTGCCTGCCTGCCTTGGCTGGTTGGCTGGAGTCGAGGCCCCTGCCTGCCTTGGCGCAAAGCCTGAGCTGTTTGTAGTAGTGACAGTTATGTAGGAGGGCAATGTTAATCTCAATTTCAAGATGAGTTTTGTATTCCTGGTGGAGGGGAAACCTCTGCATGCGTCTTGATTTTTAGCAGAGGGACTTGTGCTGTTAAGTCTCTGTATTTTCTAGTATAAAATTAGCTAAATCCATATGAAAAGATTAGACTGAAATGTTAATTGCCCACAGCTCTTGAAGAGGCTGTGTGTGTGTGTGTGTGTGTGTGTGTGAGCAGCTGTAATCTTGCTATTTACTTAAGGAATGAATAATAAAAAGTGACCTATGGAATCCAGAGTTGAACATGGGATTATCTTTTTTCTTTTAACATTAATTTGCTACAATTTCCAATTTCATGCTCAACATTTTCAAAAACTTTGTGCTCTACATGGTTACATTTTAGACAAGATACAAAATCACTGAAATTAAATATTTCTTTTTTTTTTTTTTTTCCCCAGTACCTAATACATAAATTCAAATGCTGCAGCAAAAACTGTGAGATAAAATGTTTCGTTTGACCCCAAATAAAAGCTATTTTTTGCTTTTTAATTTCACTCAGGCTGCTTATTGTAAGCCTCAAACTTAATTGTCATCGTTTTAGCATGGTTATTTTTTCAGTTGTCCTAACAAAGCAGAAATTATTCGCTTGCCCACTAATATTCTGTGCTTCCAAGCTAAGCTGCCTGGACTGTCTGTTAAACAAAAAGTGCTTTTTTTCTGAAGGGGTTGCTTTTTTTTTTCCTACCACTTAATTCCCTGCTTGAGAACTACAGTGAAAATAAAAGCTTAAAATGTTGATTTAGATCCTTACTTAGCCCTGAGCGGTATCTGTTGTTGGAGACTCTATTACTCTAACGTGCTTTTCTCTTGCAGCAGTACTCAGTGACTCAGGATCTCTATGCACAGAAGCTTACAGGATCCCATGGAATGGATCAGGCCCACGTGTGTAGGGAGATGCAGCGCTGTTTCTCTTTGGAGTTTGGGACTGAAGCATAGAAAGAGCAATCTTTTCCAGCCTGGTATGCCAGCAAAATCTTGGGCACAGCTGCATTCTCTCTGCAGTTGCAGGAGTGTCTATAAATGCAGACATGGATTTGTCCCAAGGTAGCCTCTGCAATATGAGCATGGTTACTGTGCCATTCCCCACTCGCCTCAACCCAGAGAAATTCCTGCTTTGTCAGAGCATGGGGTCTCTCTCCCTGACTGTTTCAGGGGAGACTAAATCTTACCTCTGGCACTTCGACCAAGAGCACCTAGAGGTCTACTGCAGATATTTGCCCCCAGCAAAAAGAAGGTTGATTGTAGCTGTTTGTGCTGGTACTTCTGGGACTGGGGTTGCTCAGGTGAAGCCCTTCTTGTGGGGAGGTCCTGGTCACTGGGCTAAAGTGATAAAGGGAGCTATCCCTGCCCTAAGGCTTTGGAAAGACTTGCAGGAAGGCTTGCCAAAGGTGCCTGGGAAGCACTGGTTCTAGGTGAGTTTAATGATTTTTAACTCAAGCCTTAAAGTTTGCATACTTGTTCTTTGAATTTCTCCTCTGTTTTATTTCTCCCTTCTGGCTGAATGTTGAAGGTTATGTTTCAGGATTTCTAAGCTTTCCTCTATGACTGTGATAGCTAAAGGCCTTTCTTGAGAGACAGTAGGTATCTCTTATGGGTATCTCTTATGCTCAGTCTCTTAACTGAGGAAGCATAGGGCAGTTGCTAGAAGGAGTTTATGAACTGGCTTCAGACATGACTGTAGGAGAGGTGAATGAAGCTGAAA